ATAAAGTATGGCCTATATAGAAGACGATTTACACATTTCATTATATACGATTACAATTCGTTTGTATTGTGCTAGAAATATTATATTTAAAGAAGTGCTGTTACAATAAAGATACTAATTTGGCCAGAAATGCTTTGCGGGTCTCTGCTAGTAGTATATAAATACTGTCCTGCCTGTTGCTTACTCACCTATCTCATGTTCATTTCAAAGTTGTTGTGCTATCTGTTACACATACGTAGGTAACTTAATATATTTAAATTTAATAATTTTGTAAATAAGATCAATTGTAGGTAATTAGCTTTATGTTTACTCCTCTGTCCTTCCTCCTGATGTGGTCTCAGATGGATTAATGTTCTTGAATAGTAACTAGTATCATTTTAAACATATGCTGAAATGTGGAGGGAAGATATTATGCAAATGAGTATCTCATTCTAGATGAGATTCTTGTGAGCAAGATTTTTAAACATATTACGAGATGATAGAAGTCAGACATAGCACGAAAGTCAGATTGGCAGAGAAAGTTATGAAATATATAGAGGTAAGGGCTTAGTTGAAATCATATTAAGTGTATAAAAATTGTGTTATTATGTAACTATAGAATATATATATATACACACACACTCAATTATCACTTTCACAAGTTAAATGTATGTATGATTTATGATTATTTACTCTCTTTATGATCCTCATGTTTATCATATTGTGTCTAGTATTTTCTTCATAAGTCTGTTATTTTAGTGCTCAGAGATCAAGTTTTGAGTCCAACATTGATGATATCTGTAAACTTCTGCGCACAACTGGATACAGTGGAGCTCTTGGTGCCAAAAGACCTTCAAATTATCCTGAAGACTACTTTAGGTCAGTTTACAGGTTTCGACTACGAGTGTTTTGTATAATCACCCTTTTTTTTCTTAAGAACTCTTGCTTTTTAAATCATTGCTGCATCAGTATTTTGCCTTCTGTGTTTTTAATAACTCATCAACTACTTTTCTCTCCAAATATTTGACCTGTTTAAGTGACCTTGGTCTTTCATAAAGTGGACTTTATCTTTATATAAATTCCACTATGTGAGAGTCCAAGTTACTTCAACAGGTCAGATATTTAGATAAGTTCCACTATGTGAGAGACTAAGTTACTTCAACATGTCAGATATTTAGATTAAGTCCACTATGTGAAAGACCAAGATACTTCAACAGGTCAGATATTTAGATTAAGTCCACTATGTGAAAGACCAAGATACTTCAACATGTCAGATATTTAGATTAAGTCCACTATGTGAAAGACCAAGATACTTCAACAGGTCAGATATTTATATAAATTCCACTATGTGAGAGTCCAAGTTACTTCAACAGGTCAGATAGTTGGATAAAGTCCACTATATGAGAGACTAAGCTACTTCAACATGTCAGATATTTAGATTAAGTCCCCTATGTGAGAGACCAAGGTCACTTCAACAGGTCAAATATTTCTGAAACTATCAAGGATTAACCATGATGTGCTATCAATCTAATGTGTGAAAATATCGAGCATGAACTATGATGTGCTAACAGACTATTGTGTGAAACTATCAAGGACAAACTATGATGTGGTATCAAACCAGTGTGAAAACATTGAGCATGAACTATGATGTGCTAACAGACTAGCGTGTGAAACTATCAAGGATGAACTATGACGTGGTATCAAACCAGTGTGAAAACATCGAGCATGAACTATGATGTGCTAACAGACAAGTGTGTGTGAAACTATCAAGGACGAACTATGATGTGGTATCAAACCAGTGTGAAAACATCGAGCATGAACTATGATGTACTATCAGACTAGTGTGTGAAACTATCAAAGATGAACTATGATGTGCTACCAGACTAGTGAGTGAAACTATCAAGTATGAACTATAATGTGCTATCAAACTAGCGTGTGAAAACATCAAGGATGAACTATGATGTGCTAACAACTAGTGTGTGAAACTATCAAGGATGAACTATATGATGTCAAACTAGTTTGTGAAACTATCAAGGATGAACTATATGACGTCAAACTAGTGTGCAAGTTTATCAAGGACAAACTATCAAGGAAACTAAGTGGTGGTTTTTTGTTATCATAAGTAAACTGAAGTGTTTTGTTTGTATGTTATTGTATTGATAGGAACTAAGTAAGAATACGAGCTATGTATGCATTCAGTTATTAATACCAAATAAGTTTAGAAGAAATTTTAACATTTAATTTAACTTTTATGCTAAAATATTTTTGTTCTATAAACAACACTCCTACATATCAATATTAAACTAACTTTGTTCTTCAGAATTGACTGGATCTTTAGTGGATTTGCATTAACTGTGATTTTAGCAGCTTAAGAAAAGGTCTTAGTACAATTAAAAACCCAAGTTTTATAACTGTTTAACGTGCTCATTAACTTTGTATGTGTCTTATCTTGAGTGGCTTGAGAAACATTTACCAAATAAAAATCTACTAAAGATAGTTTGTTGTGAAGGTCCGATAGTTGGATAAAGTCCACTATGTGAGAAACTAAGTTACTTCAACATGTCAGATATTTAGATTAAGTCCACTATGTGAGAGACTAAGTTACTTCAACATGTCAGATATTTAGATTAAGTCCACTATGTGAAAGACCAAGATACTTCAACAGGTCAGATATACACTAGTCTGATAGCACATCATAGTTCATACTTGATAGTTTCACACACTAGTCTGTTAGCACATCATAGTTCATGCTCGATGTTTTCACACATTAGATTGATAGCACATCATGGTTAATCCTTGATAGTTTCACACACTAGTCTGTTAGCACATCATAGTTCATCCTTGATATTGTCAAAGTAGTTTTGTAGCACATCATAGTTCATCCTTGATATTTTCACACTAGTCTGATAGAGCATCAGTTTATCCTTTATAGTTTCACACAAGACTGATATCACATCATCCTTGGTATTGTCACACTATTCATATAATGTATCAGACATAGTTCATCCTTAATAGCTTCTCACCAGTTGATAATGTAGGTTCAAACAAGTAAAATATCAGACATTTTCTATCAATACTTGTGGACACTGATATGATAAATCCTGCGGCTCTCTCTTGTTCAATGAAAATATTAGTTTTTTAAACTAAATATTCTTTAATTTCTGATGAAGATTAGTAATGTGCTTTTCTTAATTAACCCTAATTATTTCTGTTTTTAGTATGTGTATTTTTATCGTCCTAAATTATTTGACTTATTATAGCTTCTATGTTTAAAACAGTTAAGCTGTATTTTGTGTTATTGTCAGACGTGTCCCACTCAACTCCATGTACATCAGCTTAATTGTTGGAAGGCTTCGTTCAGATGATCTGTACAATCAGGTATGCTATTTTGATACCAGTGTAAGCATTGAAAGTCTTTGTTGTGATTACATATGTAATAATTCCAGTGATTTTACATAATTTATTATACACTGACATAAATTTACAAAGCACAACAGATTAACTTTTAATAGCTAGTAAAGACTTGGGTTTTGACTGGTAATAAAACTTGTTAACAAAAAGTAAAACTTTTAGTGACATTGACTGACTTTTATGTGCCTAATATTTTTGAATATCTGTGAATATGGATCATTGATCTAAACTGGACAGTCGTATATTTTTCTCTTAAATATATGTATTTTTAAATTATTACATGGATTTGATGGTTATTATTTAACAAGTTTTTACTTTTAATTCAAACAATAAGTTTTTATAATGCTTCTGAAGAAAGTTAATATGTTGAATGACATTTAAATATTGTTATTTGTATGTTGTAGATTGCAGCTTTCCCTTTCCCTGAACATCGTAGTACTGCTTTAGCTAATCAGGCTTCCATGTTGTACATTTCTCTGTACTTCTCACCTGAGATTCTACATAATCAGACATCCAAGATGAGAGAGATTGTTGATAAGTATTTTCCTGACAATTGGGTAAGTTTAAGGATCTATTGATGCTGAGAGAATTGTGTTAATGTAACCTCTGGGGAAAAATCTTCTCTATTGTGTTAATGTAACATCTGGGGAAATATCTTCTCTATTGTGTTAATGTAACCTCTGGGGAAATATCTTCTCTATTGTGTTAATGTAACATCTGGGGAAATATCTTCTCTATTGTGTTAATGTAACCTCTGGGGAAATATCTTCTCTATTGTGTTAATGTAACCTCTGGGGAAATATCTTCTCTATTGTGTTAATGTAACCTCATTAACACAATAGAGAAGATATTTCCCCAGGTAACCTCTGGGGAAATATCTTCTCTGTTGTGTTAATGTAATCTCTGGGGAAATATCTTTTCTTACATATCTTGTGTCACTTAACAATCACAGATGCTTCAAGTGTAAACATGTAATTGACCATTAGCACTTAGGAATGTAGGATTGATCAAAAAGAAATAAATTAACTTTAAGCATCTTGGAATAGATATTATAACATCAATCAATGTGTATGTTTACTTCAGCTAACTAATATGCATATTGTAATTTTCAAGTGTTTGAGATAAGATTTTACAAGTAATTTTAGAGTTCCAACTGTCTTAAGTTGTCAACATCTGTATTTCACTGACAATTAACCTTCCTGTATATTTCAGGTGATAAAAATGAACACAGTAAGGGCTATTTTTTATTCTGTAGGTGCTCAATATGTATTATTAACCTTTATATATGTTTGAGGTAATCACCACATACACAACATTGACCATGAAATTCTACATATTTCATTTAGCTACCATATTACAATGGGATTGAACATTTGTATTGGGTTCAACTGCCCAGTCTATATATTATAGTGATCATGAAACTCTACATTTATTTCAGCTAATGTA